CACTCACTTGAAAGGAAAGAAATCAGGATCTGGTTATTAATCACACTAATACTTCTTAGTTTATGAAGCCTTTGTAGGCTTTTGACTGCAAAACCAATGTAGAACAAAAGGTTAATTAGGCTTTTAGGCCCAATTTTTCAAAGGCAGTGAAAGCTGGACAATATTTAGGTGAAAACAACAATCTCTTTAAGCTGGAGGGTTGGATTCAGAAATATATCCTCATTACTATTTTGTCTGGCAGCCCTGGCCCTTTCTGAGCATGCACACAGCACGCACACCCTTTCAGTAAAGAATAATCTAATTAAAACGTACACTTGCATATAGACATGCTGTTCCACTCCCTTCTAATATAATTGTAAGGATCATTGAAAGAATATGAATACTCCCACGACAGCAGCTTATACAGTTTTCTCTCAACATCTACTGCTGTAGCTTTGCTCTGTGTTAGTAATATGGACAGCTCTTCTTTCATTAGCCCCGTCCTCTTTGCTCCTAGAAAAGCATGTCTGCTTCATATAAACTAACAGGACACTTTTGGCTGCCCCATTGTAAAGCACATGCTATTAACCACTTCAGGACTGAAATGCACCCTGACAGCAGCTTTCACAAATGAAGTTAGCTTTCCTAAAGAATGCTCAAACAGAGGTCAAAATCATGACCTGCTGAAAGAAAATGGTAATCTTGTTACTTACTTCAACAGTACTAAATTCCATCATGGCTTTGTTTCATCAGTATTTCTTCTCCAAGTTCCTTCCTTTTTTGTACCTCCTTTTGGAGCGTGTTGGTGAGCAAACTACAGAGAAGCCATTCAAGCCTTGATAAGGCAATAGGGGGAACATCCAACAGCCACCACCTCTGCCCTCTCCAGAAAGTTAAGAGATTGTCCCCATCCTCAATTCAACAGCTTACTTCCTGGTGAGATAATCCTACTCCCATCTGATGATTAAACTCTAGATTATAAATTTCTGCGTATCAACTACAAGTTATATTTACAGCTTGCTCTCTTCTGGGATAATGACAGCACTAAAAAACAAACTATTTTAAAGCCTCATATTTCTTACAGTGTTAGTTATGTGGTACAAAAATGAGTCAGTGGAAAATCTATAAAAATCCAGTGCAAAAAGCAATGACTAGCCTACCAGGTATGGATCTATTTCTGTACACTACCATGGCAGTACTTAGTTCCCTCAAATGCTCCTACCCAGAGACATATGTTCTCCCTCCCTTACCAGCCTGCCAATGCTCAATGAAACAATTTCCCAGCCTACTACAGGCAACCTTCAACAAGTAGTAGACCATTTTAAACCACCTGTAGACCCTGACTACCTTAGTTTCTATGCAATAAGATTTGCCAACACCTAGGTACAATCTCTTGAAACAAACTGAATGCCCTATGTGCCTTCAAATGTCTGCTGGGTTAATGCTGTCTAGGAAACTATTGTGTGGGGTTTGTGCTCAACTACTGAAGATACCAAAAACTCTTTTCCCTCCTGGATCATGTTCAGAGGGATGCCATGATGGCATCTTCTAGAGACTTTCTGTGCTCAAAGTTAGAAAACCTCTCTTCTGCAGACTCCAAAAATCCTCATGAATAATATGTGGAATGAGACAATCTCCTTTAAAATAGCTGGAAACATCTTGAGGCATGAAAAGGTGGCCCATTTATGACTCACACTCAACTGCTTCACCTTTTCACTTTTCAGTTCTCATTAGTAAGTTACCATCAACATGTCCCCACTCCTTTTATTTATTAAGAGGACTCTAGTTTTTCACTGCAGAGCAGGGAGTAAGCTCCTGAGGTGCAATTGGTAGCTCTCCTCCATTTAGTTTTTACTATTTTGACCCATCCCAGTTTTCTCTTGGAGTCTTCCAAATGCTCCTACCCTGCTGGTAAACCCCTAGATAGAGGCCAGAGCAGCAGATGGGCTCAGGTGTCTATACTTGCAGATAGCAGCTCACATCTCCCTCAGGAATGAAACAGCATGACGTTTAATGCTCTATGAACTTTATTATTTTGGTTGGTAAATAATTTCTTTATGCAACTGGCTATTGTACATTCCCTCATCAGAATGTTAAGTGAAAGTTTTCAGTTAAATATGAACTTTATGTCTAAAATGCCTACAAATATCCTTTAACAACATTTACTCTTTCATTTTATCCTGCTCTCCACTGCTACTCCTCTTTGTTGGGACCTCTTTTGCCCTTGCTGGATCAACAATGACTAACAAACCTGACCACAGCAATATCAGTCTCACTTGAGCTCATTTTTCCCTTTTTTCCCAAATGTCTCCAGAGTACCACTGCAAGGCTGCTCACATCTTCTCAGAGCTCCTTCTTGTTTGTTCATGCTGTGCCAATCAAGTCAAACAAGCAATTAAGGTTTTTCCTACATCCTCATCCAACACCTCTATCGAGTGCTCAAAGATACACAGAAAGAACAATCATATGTCTATGGGTATCTCTTCACCTTCATCAGATAGAGTTGCCATAGGCCACGAGAATGTAACTGTTCCAAGCCTTTCTTTGTAGCTTCATGATCCTGCAGATCCCACAACCCTGTATGTTTTGATAACTACTATGTTTACAGCCAAGAGATAAAACAGTCTAATCTTGGAGTAACACAATTTACACAGTGTCTAACTCCATACATCCTCACCTGCACTGTGCACATTCTGGAAGTACGTGGGTCACTGCTTTACATGGCAGCCAGGTACACGTGTTTTTCATCTCCACTGGCCAGGGACACTGTCTGGCTTTTCTCAGTACTGTGGTGTCTAACCTCTAAGTCCAAAAGAACTTTTCTCTGATTACTCTAAACCTCTGTGATTATAAAAATTATTCTATATTGCTGGTTTCATCTGACTTAACTAAGTCTATAGAATCACTGTTTAGCAAAAAACCTGACAGAACAATGTCTTTATACTGAAGATCCTTATGAAATCATCTATATACATCATCAAAGAAAATGAGACTATAAGTAAAAGTCCTAAAAGTTTTTTGCCCTGAAGGCAAAAAAACACCCTACAGAGTTGCCAATATTTTGAAGAGTTAAAAGTAGCCTCAATAGTTTTTCTCAAACACAAATCATTGAACTAGATTCATTCATCTAAGTCATAAATATCAAAGAATCTGTCACAGAAAACAAGTACACAAACACAATCAATTGTGGGCACTATCATACCTTGACAAAATGTAGCATTGATCCTCTTGTAGCCTTGAGGGCATTCCATCATAGGATTGTATCCATGGTAAGCTGAAGAAAAAATTGTATCAATTAAATAATGTTAATTGATATACTTATTTCCAGAGCCTGACAGCCAAATCATCATATAATTATTTTAAAAAATCAAGGTTTTTTTGATGCATGGTTAAGTATAAAAGATTAAGAAATTAAAATTAAAGGTTGTACAGGTAACCTTAACTCCATCTCTTTCCATATGTGTACCACTTGAGATCTCAGTTATCCAGTCAAATTTGCATTTTTTACAAAAAAAAAAAAAAAACTTTAAAATCAGAACATTATCATTCATCCTATTTGTCCTCAAATATTCAAATAACTACTTTTGCAAACAAGCTACAAAAGCATGTTGGGAAAAGATAAAGTTGAAGATTCATCATGGAAACTCAATGATGGTTTTATAGCAGCTTTAAAAAGCAAAAGTACCTTCAAATTTTTTTTTAGAAAGCAAAATTGTTAGGTATCAATTCTCCTGCCATGCTGAATTAAAAAAATACCTGAAATCCAGAGGAAATAGATACAAATAAACTTTTGAAATAAGCGGCAGGAGGAAAGAAGAAAAAGACACATCTGTGATTTACCTAACAAAGTTGCTGAATTTTAGAAGACTGAACTTCACTTACTGGTTGACCAGCGCAAACTGTCACAGACATAATACTGCAAAATAAAGACTGAATTCAATTTTTCCAAAACAGTAAGTGTTCAGTTAACCAGTTTTTAATTTCTCTTTACTGGTTTTTTTTCGTTCCCTTAAAGTTGCTTTTGAGACTGCAGAAAACTGTGTATTGATTCTTAAACATAATAAATAAGAGCAGTAACTTCTTTGTATGGTTATGCACTAAAATCTAACTTCTTGACAAAGTCCAGTAAATTGCTAAACATATAGGACTAAACTTTTGGCACTATGATCACATAGATGCCTTTGATAAGAGTCAAGAGAGTTTTTCATAATTTGCTACAACAGAGATATCTTATATTTTGTCACATCTTTTGGTTTCCTTAAAAGTGTTCTAAATGTTCAGTAGACATAAAAAAAAAAGAACCTAAACCAAACCAACCAACCAAAAAACAACCCCAACAAAAAAACAGATGCAGTACTTTCCATCTTTACTGTATATAAATTGTCAAATAAGACAGAAAAACTGAGTAACACAATGTCGTTGATTGGCTTCACACCATGTAATGCCTGAATTGTGCATTTATCCCTGCAGCTTATTTTAAAACTGGTATCTGGTTGACTGTAACAATGGGGGGAAAAGAAAGAAAAAAAAAAAA